GCCTTGCTCAAAAAACAGAGGACAGCACTGATTTTGATAAGGCAAATGTTAAAGCTGTTTATGATAGACTTTTGTGCTGATTATAAATGCGTTATAAAGTTGCCATCATGCTCAGATTTTGAGAAAAACGAGGTCAAAGTGTCAAAAAGTGAGAAGCTCTAGCAAAGAAAGAAAATGTGATAGAACCTTCCACTTAGGTTTGAAGTAAGGCTTGAATTTTCAGCTACCATCTCTGCACCATGACCCTAAGGTCACTTACAGTCATTTATGGAACAATAAAAAATACTGGAAAATTGTGCTATCAAAAAAAAAAAATATTTGCCAAAATCGGTTTTGGTGTACAACAAATGACTGTAAGTGACCACCAAGTCAAGGTGCAGGAATGATATTTTCAGGTATGGTAGTCAAGAGTTCTAGCTTTAATTTAAGCGTATGTAAACGGTTCTATCGCCTTTTGTATCTTTGCTAGAGCTTCTAAAATATTGCAAAAACGCGATTTTTTGACACTTTGATCTCGAGGCAACCGCAACATTTCCTTTTGCTACTAGTTGTGGTTGCATTCCGATTTCGAAAACCAAATAAATGGTTTCAAGAAGCCCAAAGTTAAGCCTAATAGTTCGTTCGAAAGGATAAAGGGAATTCCACTACTAATTACGATTCCATTTTGAAATAAACTTCGATATTACATTGAAATAAAGTTCTTTACTTACCATAAAAAAGTTCATCTTCATGCGCCAAATGCGCACTCTGAAAATAACATAAATTTAAATCGGCTTAGGATTTAAGACGTTGACAAATTTAAATATGGCAATCTACAAATTAAATTGCTTATTCATCGCATAGTTAAACGATTTTATTCTCATCTCATTTAAATTACAACTCCTCTTCAACCAAACCAATTTAATGGCCACCAAGCTAGTTTTTCGCAATGACCCGGTTGGTAATAGCAATCAGTTAACTCTTAAAATGAAAACTGGCTTCTTTTTGAAAGCCACCAATCGGAATGATTGTTATTCAACGGCTTTGCGTGGCCACTTGTATATGCAAAAGTACTTATTGTGTGATCGTATGTACATATATAAATGTAAACGACTGAATGATCATCATAAATAGCACCTTTTATTTACCCATTGAAAGTCTCACTTCATTTCCAATTGTTTTGCGCGCCATAAAAATGCTCATTTGGCCAAAGTATATCGAACGTTATGTGTCAGCCGGGCCATTGACTTCGATAGTGACTGTGACTGTGACGGTGATGGTGATAGCAGTGATGATGCTATGGGCGATGATGATGCGAAAGACTGTTGCTGCTGAGCGTTCACCTTTTAACGCCTATTCTAGCCAGGTTATGCATTCCAAGCGTTTGCCCTTCGCAGCACGCCATTTTCTTAGGCCATCGAAACATTGCATTTTGCACTTTTGCTCGCCGTTCCTGCAAATCCCCAGGATTGCCCAATAAACGTCAACCAAATCCCCTCCTGCTTTAATTTTATCGATTTCAATATCAATGCAATCGGCCGCCAAGTTTTTCGCTTGTTACCACCAGCCACCAGCGATCATCGACCAGCACAAAGAATTGGAGTGGGATAAAAACCATTTCAGCTGATTTTAACTGTGGCGCTATTAAAAAAGCATAAAATATAAATTTATGCCAAGCAATGTCAACGACCAGCTGCAAATGTGGCGAAATTTTTGCGCTGGTATGTATGTGTGTAGTGGTGCGGGCAAAGAAGCAGCAAATCATGCGCCGACCCGCTGCGTTGCAATACGCTAGACTTTCCGCCGATCGATATGATTGCAACGATTGCTGCACTTACTCATCGCGCCGCATTTACAGTTTGATAAGCATTTATGGTCACTTTTCTTGGCGTTCATTTATTGTCCATTTGGTTTAAATATACGTACATAAATACATGTGTGCGAATGTGTTGATGAGCTTTGGTGCATCTGGCCGCCGATTGATGTTGGTGATCACTCGCCGCAGCTATCGCTTGGTCATATGTACATACCTATGTATGTACGTTAGTCCACTGCTGCGAAAAGACCGAGTATCATCTGCGGTGAGTGGTGATTGTTTTGGAAATCGTGCCGCGCCTGCAGTGCCGAACGTGACAAGCGGCAAGTGGGGAACTTATGAGGAAAAGGTTGACACATTCACCTCTGTCAGGCGGTGGGGGAGCATAAATTAAAAATAGAAAATTGTTTATATTTTTCTAATATGCAGTTTATTTCCGTCTATTTATATATTTGAAAGTTTTCAAATAGCGAAGTAAAATTAGAAATTTATTATTATTTCGCGACATGTTTACTACTCTAATCCTAGAGCTAGGACTTAGTTTCGGGGTTTCCAGCCCGCCAAAGTTTCAGGCTATGGTAGAAAAACTTCTCACACATCCTGCGCGAGATTATTTTTTAAACCGACTTCACAAAAAGGACAAAGATTATCAATTCGTCTGAATATTTTGTTTATGTATGTTACCGCATAACTTTAGACCACGTTAACCGATTTCTATAATCCTTTTTTTAAGGAAAAGGTGTTAGCTCACATGTGGTCCTATACTCGTACGATCTAACGTTTGAACTCGCCTCGGTTCTAAGATATCGGCTAGATTTTAGACGGTTTCAACAAAGAAACACCGACGAGTACCCCATCGAATACTTCGAGTAATAGATTGTACCCAGTTCGATGTCGTCTGTGGTTCACATCGGAAAGAGCCGATACCTCAAATACTCCAAATTCCGCCAACCAGATGATGTCATACATGAGGACGGACATGATGAGAGGTTATAAATTGCGATTTTCGTTCGACAAGAGAAAACTTTACTGGTAAATTACCTGCTCTGCCCAACGTATTAATTGTTGGCAAGTGGAACTCGTCTTTGGATTTCTAGGCCAAAATTATTATTAGTTCTGACGCAGTTCACAAGTAGACGAAGTCCCCTACATTTTCGATAATATAATGTGGTTTCGTCGACGCTAATGCGCTGGCTACTTGTTTGATAACACGAAATGCTGCAATATTTTTTCCGTGTTTACCTCCAGATCTGCGTCCCCTGTTGCTCTATCTAATTTAGTGAAAGCGGAAAAAAAAGATTTGTTGAGGCCGGTAATTTAACGTCAGCGGCGTACGGTAGCAATTGTACGCTCTTATACGATTAATAATTGCCCTTCAGTGGTTTAGTTCTGTAGCTTTGATTGTCATTTCCACCATCAGATTAAAGAAATCACACAACAGGTAACTACCATGTCTGTAGTCTCATTCGTTAAATTATTTCTCGGCGTGGGATTTAGCCTTGTATTCGATGGCCAGCAGGCTGACCCCGCGGGCTTTTCTTTTGGTACCATAAGCTGCCAATTTTTACGTATGCTTTCGTCCAACCGTATTCAGAATATGAGCTCCACGCATCAGATAGCTCAGCTGGCAGACCATCAAACTTATTTTTAGCGGCGCTATTGATTTTCAAATCTCGCCATGGTCGATTGGAGGATACCGCTTACCTCTGTTACTATTCAGTATATTGTAGAAATATTCTCTCCTTAATTTAAGTGTGCCGTGGACATCAGTCACTAGTTCGCCAGGCTTGTTCTTACAAGGATTCGCACCGTTCTTGAAATCTTCCGAAATTCAACTAATTTTCGTGTAACTGACATAACTTCCTCAGACATAACTTCCATTGGCCCGTAGAAGTTATTTCAAACTTAATTTCCACGAAGATCAAACTTAACTTCAATGGAAGTTATTTCATGATATGACTTCCTGAATATTTCCATCTCATCGCAGTGCTCCGCTCGTTTATTGGATGGCGTTCCCCCCCTATGGCGATCTAATTATTGTGGAAATTAAATCATGAGCGGAGCGCTCCGATCGCTCACTATTCCATATGAACACAGATATGTATACTAAGAATAAATTATAATATTATTCGAACAATACTTTGGATATTTACTTGACGTTCATGGCAATTTTCAATCTTTGAAAGATCGTGATAGAATTCGCCTAATATTACATGATCACAGGGAATAAATACAATTTTGCACGGATTTATTTTACAGTTTATATAGACTTTGAGATTTTCAGAATTTAGAACTCCTTGAGGTTCATCAGAAGTGTTTTCGTTCGAATTTTCCTTAAAAAACTGGATCAAGTCATCATCCAATTCGTCCTCAATTTCAATGTCCAATTCGTTTTCTTCATCCTATGAGGTTTTCTCGATTACCTTTGCTAAAACCACCTTCGATAAAAATTGTTCGATATTTATTTGGGATTCTAACATTAACTTGGAAACCTTATCGGTTTCAGAATCCCGCCGAAGAGATTGTTTTTTTTTTCTTAACCGGTGGCTGATAACCATTAAATATAACTCGCAAAAGTTGAATAGAAATAGCCTCCTCTTCTGCGATTAGAAGCGAAAGAAAACGGAAGAAAAGTTTTAAGCGAAAATAACTAATTTTGCGCCGGACTTCCAGCTTTGACACTAAAATTTAAGATTTTTCAAAAAGTGGAGTTAATGAATTTGTGCAGTGAGTGGCTCATTTAATATACAATTATCATGGAACTTTTGTCTGACATAACTTCCATGAATCAGATCAGTGGATGTTATGTCAGATTTTACTTCCATGTAGTAATATCACGATATATCTTCCTTGGAACTTATGTCACGGTTCGGTGGAAGTTATGTCCGTGGAAGTTATGTCGAAACTCCTAATTTTCTAGTTTGCTTTTCGGCTCTTCGCACTCGCATTTTCTGGTTTCTCGGTTTTGGTAAATTTTTATATAGTAAACTTTTGAGTTGAATACTTCGCTGGCCGCACAAGTTTTTTTTTGCAGCTGTGTAATAAGTGGCATTGTTTTAAATAATAAAACAAAGAACTACTTATCTTAGTTTAAGTTTTTTTTTTTAAATATATTCGAACAGATAACTACATCCGCATAGAGTTTTGGGGGGTCTATGTGAAAAAACGTCTTCATTAATTCAATACCTTCATTGTGATTTTGCAGGTACGCTTGTATTTCTCACAAATACCCGATGACAAAGTGCCATACGTGAATAGTCCGGGAGAGCAGTATCGAGTACGACAATTACTACATCAACTTCCACCACACGATAATGAGGTAAGAGTCCAAATAAATGTTTATATGTATGTAAGTATATGCCTCGATGGATATTAAGGGTTTATAAGCCACAGGACACCAAAAAAATTCTATGAGCACACATATTAGTATTTATTTAAATAGAACGTTTTTATCTGATTTATTTTCCGAATCAGAAGTGGGCCTCTGTTATAGGTAGAGCAACAGAGAAGGGTTTACATAGCTTAGAACAAAAGTCACGAATTCTGTTCATGCTCTATTAACATACATACATTTTGTTTAACCATTTAAAAATCTGACACACTGCCTTCACCCACGCACTTTGAGCTTACCATAAATGGCCAATCTATGACAAGTTTTGCATAATTTGCATTCGCATTTCCCCATCTGTACTCAGCTTGACTGCGTGCAACTCTTTCACTAAGTAACGTTACCCCGATTTTTATGTTATTAGACATTTTCAAGTCTCAATAAGTTGATAACGTTAAAAATTGCCCCAATTTCTTACTGTCTAGCTGAACTGGTCGTCCACACTTGGCAGGATCAGCATGTGGTTGGTAGCTAAATTGAAGCGGGTTCATGGCATTTACATTACCGATGAATACGGCACTATGTAGATCCATATGTACACATGTACGAGTATGTAGCTAGCTTTTGCCATTTGCGACTAACGAGTTTTCACGCACTTCCCACTGTGTCGAAATGGCTAGCAATACCAAGTTCATCCCGAAAACTCTTTTATGCATTCATATGAAAATATCTGATAGATATGCTGATTGGAAGCGACGCGACGTGGAGCTGGTTAACTGAATAACTCATATGCTGATATATATGTACATTTGTAGTTTTGTACATAACCATATATGTATGTATGTATGTTAATGCTGCACTGCCGTACGAAAACCAGCGGGAGCTGGGTAGAAGCGAATTTCTAATGAGCTACAATAAATTTTAGAAACAAAAATTGATAGAAATGAAATTAACTCTGTTTAGGCATAACGGCAGACATTATTCAAATCTCAAAAAATGTGTGTTCTTTAACTCCTAAAGATCACACCTGCAAAATAAGGCGTAATGGTCACACAGGATCCAGTGGACCCAAGCAAACATCGTACACATAGAGATTCACATGTTAGCCGAAATCTGGTATGTTTCAAGGCATGCTTTATCGAACGAACTAACTAAATGCATATGAAACAGGGTATCAATAGCTATTTAAATGCCATATGAACATTGTTATTTTTTCCTTTGGATACCAGTTTTAAGGCCCTTTTTTTAATTTTTCCTTTAGAAAAAATAATTTAAGTACAATACTTTAAGAAGATTTATAAAAAATAAAAATATCTTTCTGGAATCTACATACTGTATCTATATATATATGAATAATATGCGAAGGGATTTTTTGTTCAGGATAAAAGATCTACACCGTTCGATCGATTTTCGAAAATGGAGTGTCAAATTAAAGCACTTGGCCTGTAGATGTGTAAACTGATTTAATTTTTTTCTAAAAGAAATGCAACCTGTTGAGCAATTAAATTCCATGGCCCGTAGCTATAGTCAAAATAAAGTCGACTCTAAAGTAAAAAGCAGGTTCCTTTAACAGACAGGCAGATGTGCAATAAGGTTTTAATTTTTTGAAAAGAGTTGCCACCCTTTAAAAAATTATATTCAAATCATTAAAAACAAGAAATCAATTACTATAATAATTATTACAAATTGGGTATCAATCGAAATGGGTTGGAAAAGCTTTGTTCCTTAACTTAACTATGGGAGGGTTGCCACCTATTTAGAAAATCAAATTCAATTTGTATTAAGAAAATTAAGGGTGCCAAACGAAAGGGGTTTCAGAAGGTGGTAGTTTGAAAATATTTTGTAGAGGGTTGCCACCTGTTAACTAATACACAAGCTATATGGAATATAAAAATATAGACGTCAAGCAAAACGATGTTAAGAAATCTTCAGTTTGAACACTCAGAATTTTTTCGAGGTGTTGGAGAAGGTTGCCACCTGTTTAAAAAGTTAAATCCAAATTATTTTATAAGTTAAATGAATTACTAAAATATGGGTATCAATCGAAAGAGCGTTGAAAATCTTTATTTCTGAATTATATTTACCGGAGTTGCCACATGTTTTAAAAATCAAATTCAACTTAGTTCATCAGCTAATTAGAAGATGTATCTCAATGCCAGTCAAAGGAGAGTTAACAAGATTTTAGCTTGAAAATACTTTTGAAGAGGGCTGCCATCTGTTTGAAAGGCTCAATTTAATAACTTATATGAAATATAAAAATACGGGAGTCAAAAGAAGGAGTGCTAATAAATGTTTAGTTTGGAGTGTTTGAAGAGGGTTGACCATGTGCTTAAAAAGTTACATCAAATTATGTAATAACTTGGATGAATTAATAAAAGATGGATATGAATCGAAATGAGTTTGAAAACGCTTTATTTCTGAAACATGTTTAAAAAATCAAATTCAACTTGAATTAAGGCAGTTGAATAATTGGAATACATACATGTATATTGTATGTACACAATATGGGTGTCAGATGACAGAGTTTAAGAAGGTTTTAGCGTTAAAAATTTTTTTGAAGGGGGTGCCACCAGTTTGAAAAGTCGAACTTATGGACCTCACACGAAAGAGTGTTAAGAAATGTTTAGTTTCAACATTTAGAATATTTTTTAGGGGTTTCAAGAGGGTTGCCATCTGTTTAGAAACTTAAATTTAAATGAGTTTGAAATATATGTGTATCGCAATGTCAAACGAACGAGATTTATAAAAGCTTTAGTTTGAAAATATCCTTTATTAGGCTGGCCAACTTTTCAAAAAGTTACATCGATCTAACTAAGTATATATGTAAATATGTATATTATACGAGAAGGCATTTTTTGTGATACTAATTAGATTTGCCCTGTTCTTTCGAATTTCAAAAATTAGAGGTCGAACGGCCTTAGCCTGTAGATGTGCGATAAAGTTTAATTTTTTTTTATTAAGAACTTTTTTATCGATATAGGGTGAAGTTTAATGAAATTAAAAACATGCACTTTGCGAGACCTCTCTTCACTCACAAAATACTGCACAGATTAAAATGAAATATGGCACTCGAATCGCTTATAACTCTGACTAACATTTAGAATATTTTTTAGGTTTTTGAAATTAAATTTCGAGCGTTTTACGCTATGCGGGTTCACTAGTTTATTTATATTTTTTATGCTCCTGTAGTATTAATAAAATTTCATGTGTACTTATATATTTTCTAAAGAAAAGAGTATTCTCATCTATATATCATTACCTAAACGTGAAAAGGAGCCAACTTTTTGAAATTGTTCAGGAGACTCGAAAAATTGATGCATCAAAAACTAAATTTTGAAAAAGTGGACTTGGCACCTTTCCGCCTTAGAATAACTTTTAGAATACAGTTTTATAATCCATTTTATTTTTGTACAGTAAAGTGCAAGTTTGAAGCTGCTAAAAAATCTTAAAACTTTAACAACAGAAACGAGTTGTATTAAATATATACATACGAGTAGTACTTTCTTAATCCCCTACCGCCCTAACAAGCGTTGTCCTTTCTGCTGTGCCAAAACATTAGCATGACCATTTCCGAGATAATCTCTTAATGATGATTTCCAATGTAGCTTAAGATACCGCATCAATTCCAGACGCTTAAGCTATAAAACTTAAACCCTAAGATTTCGCAGATGGCAGTGAACATCCTTATTACAATTTTATTATTAACTCTCAGGCCACAAAACTCGGCTTTCCAGCTAACTCAATGACAGCGTCACCATAAGAACCTTCTTGCGGTAGTCCCTTGTTGAGTTTGAATTGGCCATACTAATATATTGAGGATCGCCTCTAGTAATCATGCTCCAGCTTGCTACGCCTGCACACACTGATAGTCTCGAAAGTAGTAAAGGAAATTAATGAACTCCCTATACGGTCGCAGTTGGGTAATCCAAATAATCTGAAATCCGAAATCCAAAATATAGTAGTATTCATTTTGCCGGAAATGGCTTAGCTACAAGTAATTCAGTATTTATCTAAGCACGCCGAGGTTGATAATGTTCCTATTTCTCTTTATGACTCTATCAGAAGCCACACCATTTCACTCTTATTACCATTGTTGCCACTAAATCGAATTCCAAAAACTGATTTTTGTCATAAATCACGCGCAACATGCGTGTACGCCCACTCGGCGTACGGTAGAGTACCGTTAAATTTACGAAAAACTCCATACCCTTTGAGGTTGTAGGGCATTTAAACGCACAACAAGACCAACGCACCAACAAAATTTACATGAGAAAGGCAGAGATGTTGAGATTGCAATGACACTGCTGCCGAATTGACATTTGGAGAGCTCGCGAAATGTACATTTGCAAACAGACACACAATACATACGTACATAAAATTGTAGAAATGCATGTAATACAAGCTACGCCGAGCCATAAGGGGGGAAAACAATTGTAACAATGCCAAAAGCACCCACATAGAAAATATTATAATTGACAAAAATCGAGCAGCCAACTAGTAGCTTTGACTGTGATTCATACTTGCATGGATACCGCTTTACGCCTGCATTTGTTTGGCTGCATTGCAGAGTGGCATGTGTCCACACTTGGTCATCATCATCAATGGTCTGACAAACCAGCCGGCCCGTTTCGCTTACTCCGCCTCTAATCCCCTTCTTCCCCTCCAAATCCTTTCAACCAGACGCTCATATTTGCATGGAATTTGCATATCTACTACATATGTTTGTATAAACATGCAGAAGGTGGGACACACTGCAGTTAGTCAGTTAGACGAGCAAACAGACAAACCATCAGTCAGTAGAAAAGTGGAAGACTACTGGTGTTGCCACTGCCACTGCTTCTGCTATAGCTTCTGTTGTTGCTCCTCAATCTACGAGGTTACGCGAAAAGTGGTTGTCATTATTCGAGAGCACGTCAGCAAGTCGCATGCTACACATGCCACACGAATGACTTGCCACCGACGAGCTGTGGAATGAGATTCACTCACTTGCGCGTAATAATCAAACCGTAGCTCACGGACACAAGGAGCACATGCATCGCTACTCCATCGCCTCTAAGAATCACTTGATTGACCATCAACATCTGCTTGGTGTGGATGCCACACAATTTTTGAGTGACGCTCTCCTACATGCAGTAGCTCGGCTCGTTCTCAGAAGCAATTTCCAATTGACACGCATGCATATCCACATATGTGCATATGTATTTACATACCTATGTATATATGTATGTATATATGTACATAGGAATATACGTGCAGTAACGCAAAGAATTTTAAAATTTCAAATAAATACTTGACTACCGACCACAAATTATTTAACTCGTCACTTACGTGCCTACACATACATATGTACATATGTATGAATATAGATAAAAACACCTTTTGACATACAAATGTACATACAGTATACATAATTATATTCTTAACTAAGCTTTACTCTCCATCATCACCATTTAATTTGCTTTTATTTTTTTCTCTTGTTCACAGGTTCGTTACTGTCACTCATTGACGGATGAGGAACGCAAGGAGCTTCGCCTATTCTCCACACAACGAAAACGTGACGCACTTGGACGTGGCAATGTCAGACAGTTGATGAGTGCGCGCCCGTGTGACGGTGTAAGTATTACTTTTCATCAAATTCACTTAAAAGTTAAACTATTTATATACACATAAAAACTACATACAATTAAGTATAGTCTGATATGGGCACTTGACCGCCAACAGCTAAAGTGTCTGCTAGTGTAGTTTTATTCTGATTATCTCAAGTTGAGTTCGGCTGAAATTACTCAAAGAAAATTTTTGCAATTTCAAAAAAATAAAAGTATAAGGAATTTTAAGATGCAGGTCTATAAACTTTCTAGATGAAAAATCCGATTTATTCGACAACCAAACTCAGGTTTGTTCGATATTCGAAAAATCACGATTTCAAAAAAGATACCCAAAACTTTTGAAGCAAAAAAAGAACGGCGGAAACCGCTTTGGAAAACCAAAGCAATCACCCTAATTATCTCTTAACTTGACTACAACAAGCTTCGCAAACGGCCTGGTTTTATTTTTTTTACGAAAAATTCAACGGTACTGTCTCAGGCACTAAGACTCCAGCTCTGGGTGTGATTTCGAACTGGTGAGTGAGTGGGGTAGAAAATTTCACATGGAGGAAAGAAAACCTATAGGTGTATGTCATCAACTGAAATGCAAAAGACTGTAACTAACAAAAATCCAAAATTTTCTTTTTGATTGGTTATCATGTATTTTTACATTTCAGCTGACCATATGAAGCTTACTCTAGACTTTCTGGGATGATGGCCCCAGCTTTAAGGCAAAGTTTCTAGCAATCTCGACATAAATGCGGAGCATATTCTGTGTGATTGTTGAGCTTTGGCCAGACTGTTATCGAACCTTTTAGTACTAGGAAGCTCTGCTGGTGTTTGTTAGGCAAGCTAATAATGTTTTAGGCTATAGAAATAAGGGACCTATTATAGGTACACAGAAAAGTGGCAATATCTCATTTTTGAGATGCTTAATTCATTTACGAACAAACCATATAAGGTTTACGGGTGCCAATCAAATTTTAAAGCCCTAATACAGCAATGAAGTCTGCGATAGCTTAGCATTTGTGGTCAAGTGTGGCGTTGTTTATATATTTAAATCAAACATTTGTCGTATCGCCAGGTAAACAAGTTCAAGGCGAATCTTCTTAATGAAAGACAATGGCTCATATTTCACATAGTCAACTTAGTCAACGTAGCTCTGCGTTTGAGACGACGTTCTCATACATTATTGAACAAGTCAAAAAACCTGTTCTGAGAATGCACATTTGAAAAAGGAAAAGTCTCGGCGTCGCATTCAATAAGTAGTTGCTCAGAAGCCTGTTAAAACTTTAGTTTATATTCGGATTGTTTAGTAAGTTTCTCATATCTTTCATCTCTCTTCTCTTCTAAGCTCTTCTCTGGTGGTGTGTGATCCTACCGCGAAGAAGGGCTCGGGGCATATTGGTGTTGCTGCTGCCGCTTTCCTGGCAAGCGTATCTGCCTCCCCATTACCTTTTATGGCCTTATGGCCCGGCACCCAGATGAGGAATACCTTATTGATTGCCGCTAAGGTGTTTAGCCCCTCGTCGCACTCAAGAACCATGCGGACTTAATTTCATTGCAGACAAGGGCTCTGAGTGCGGCCTGTTTGTCGGCTAATATTAGTATATTTTCATCACGATAATTTCGCTGAAGATTTATCTCTGCACCCAGATTAATGGCGCGAACCTCCGCTTGGAAAATTCCAACCCCAATGCCTTCGAGTGTTTTTGAGCCGTCTGTGTACCAAATAAGGGGGCGTAGACGGGAGTGTTTTTATACCCGAGCGCACTTGTGCACAAGGGTATTATAACTTTGTTCACATAACGGTTGTTTGTAACAGGCAAAACGAATCGAGATAGATATAGATAAATGTATACATAAAAATTCAGGATGAAAAGAGAAATCGATTAAGCGGTACTGTCTGTCCGTCCGTCCGTCTGTCCGTTCGTCTGTGCACACGATAACTCGAGTAAAAATTAATATATCTTAACGAAACTTGGTACATGTACTTCCTTCGTGCGTAGAACGGATGGTAAGGAAAATGGGCAAAATCGGGCAATAACCACGCCTACCTCCCATATAACGGTAATTTTCAGAAATACGAAAACTGCGATATTTTAGTAACTACTGAAGATTATTAACTCAAAATTGAAATTTACAATAATATTTAGACGAAAAATAAGAATGTTATAAATTTTTGAAAAATGGGCGTTGCCACGCCCACTTATGGTTACATGTGTATATCTTGGCAACCGCTGCACCGATTTCTTCCAAGCTTGCCACAGTTATTGGCCTTGGTACAGGATACCAAATGGCCGAAAATTTTTAAAATCGGACAATAACCACGCCCACATCTCATATAAGAGTAATTTGGGGAAATACGAAATCTTCGATAAATCAGTAAATATTAAAGCCAATTTTTTCAAAATTGATGCTTGCAACAATTCCTTACCAGGAAATACGTCTATAATAAAATTTTGAAAAATTGGCGTGGCACCGCCCACTTATGATCACATATATGTATCTCGGTAACCGTTCTACCAATTTGTACCAAACTCGGTATTTTTATTGTGCTTGCTACATAAAAGCAAAACGATGAAAATTATTGAAATCGGACTAAAATTATGGCTTTTCATATAACGGTAAATTTTAGAAATGCCTGAAGCGTCAATATTTTGAAATTTAAGGACGCTAATTTACTCAAAATTGATACACCCCGGCTTACCATGTAGCGGTAGCTTTCGGAAAGGTGAAAATCATATATTTAATATTTGCGCCAGGTATTTCATGTTCGGCTCCGCCCGAACTTAGACTTTCTTACTTGTTTTATATTCCAATTTGCATTATTTCCTAGCTCTACTTTGAAATTTCTATCTAAACTAATGATTCTGTAGATATCATCTCGTGGGAGTTGGGCCCTGGAAGGTTCCTTATTTCGAGATGATACCCTTTTCTCTACCAAAACCCTCTTTATTGAAATTAATTAGGGATCGTTTGGCTCCCTGTTCTATGTTAATATACAGTGGCATTAGATCGAAAGCAACCTAAAAATGCTGCTGTTGGGCAGGTTTTGTGAGTGAGCGCCTTACAGTCGCTAGGTTGGCTATCGAGCCCCAGCCCACCGCCCCATAGGATATCATAGGCTTGACTATCATAATATACATTTATTTTCCTACAAGACGTTTGCTTACCGGATGTCGGCACATCAACGTTTTCCTTCCATGAGAGTTTAGCATCAAGCGTGATGCCCAGATTGTCTTCCGAGACAATGCCGACTTCTGTTGGCAAAAAATAGCGGTCTTAGAAAAAACATGCTAGAACCACCGTGTCGCTCATGTATATCTGCGGCCATGTACGTCTTACCACTTAAGATTGTGGATATTTCTAAACAAAAAAAATACAGTTCCTACAGAGCTCTGCTTTCTGAAATTGGGCACGCCAATTAAGGCAATATTAGGGCATTATATGAGTTTGGATAATAATTTTTTTTTTTTTTTTAAATTAAATAACTGAAAAATGCATTTGGGGATGATATGATTCACGGATTTTCGCTTGGATATTTTCAAATCCTTTTCCTATTTTTTATCAAACTGCTTGCAATATATTAAACTGAACTTACAGTAACACTTGTAAGAAGTTAATGCATCTTGATCAGAAGTACCGACCTTTATTTTGCCAGAAATTAACGGAACACAATTTGGAAAAGACTCGTTTTTAATTAAATCTCCGATCGTACTTTCAAAAAGTTTTCTCTATGTCATTTCTCTTTGGCTTATATTAGGTGATTCCCTTTAAAAATTGTAAAAATCTGAACAATCTTAAATGGTAAATTGCGCGCAGCCGGAGGTTTAGTAACGCGTATGTAAGTACAATCATATACATCTGTGAATACTAGCATACCTATGCATACATACATGTGTGCCTTTGACATCATCATTCCAAATGCAATTAGCCAAATTCAATAAGGCAATGCACTCGCTATTTGAGTGCGTTAGTACTTACATTTGTACATTTTCGCACAAGAATATGGCTCTAAATCACTCTTCATTGAAAATTTACGTAGTATGTATCTCCAGCAACTGTCAAATTGACTGTCACTGACATTGGCATTGACACAGGACAAGGCTGCAATGCCTTGTCACTGTCACTTAGGAGGCGACAAAACGTGTTAAAGCCACACTAAGTAAACAAGAAACTTAACTCAATGACACTCACAGGTAAATAAGTACTTACGTGCATATGAAATCGTGTATTACTTACATAAATAAATAAAGGAGAACTTCTTTGGAATCGCATAAGCAAACTCAAGTAAGTACACCTTAATGCGATTTGCGTTGTATTTGCTTGTTGTGTTGTAGTGCAAGCACAAGTTAAGATTTGTCAAGCATTTGTTGCGTAACTTAAAGCCGAATGATTTAGTTAAGCGTAGCAAATGGTACAGAATTACTAGTTAAGTAAATAATAGGAGTATTCACCAAATGGAGCAATTGGGCTGGTACTCAACGGAAAAGAGCTGATATAAAAATTATAAGTTTAAGTAAATAAAAAATACATACGTACATATGTATACTCGTATACCTACAGTATCAAATATATAAATTTTTTAATAAACACTTAATATGTTAACAGATGTAAATAAAAAAAAAAAGTTTTTCATTTTATCTAATGTTTACATAAATATTTACTCGTATTTGCCCACTTTCTATATTTCTACCCATTTATAAAATTTTTTTTTT